TTTCTTTCTTTCTTTCTTTCTTTCTTTCTTTCTTTCTTTCTTTCTTTAAGATGAGAGCTGTAGTTTGTGCATAGACAATACAAAGGTTGGTTATGGATTTAGAAAATTGGGCAAAACTAACAAATTGTGTAAAGTTACTAAAACAACCATAAAGTGAACTTCAAATTCAATATCTTAATGCTATTGTTGTTCAGCTAACTGGGCTTCAGTTCACTACTAGGTCATACAGACAAAGATAGAGTGCAACTGTAAAGAAAAGTGCCGTCTCCTTTGCCTTGTAGATTGTGAGAACGAGAGCCTTTACCTGGGGATTAATCAGATTATGTGCTGAGGTTCAGGGATCTCCACACAAACCACTCAGACTCCAGTCTCAGTTAAGAAAGAATAGTTTGTTGAATGCATACCCCAAGACTGATTGATCAGGATTGAAGCCTAGACTCAGGAGCTAAGACTGGACCTTGAACATATAAGGACCAGCTTATAAAGGAAAAAAAAAAACACAATAAACACATACACAGCACCACAGGGAGGTTGGCCCTGACTCAAGCCGTTCTGGCTATCTAGACAGAACAGTTCTAACTAACCTATATTCTGATTGGTCCAAAGCTTTATTCCGATTGGAGCTTATGGTTGTGGAATTTCTTAAAAATTAACAACTCTAAGAAAATACAGATGGTAACATGGTATGTGGGCAGCATAACCCTGCTCTGAGTCAAGCTATTTTTCTGCATCAATAACTGGCAGGCATGGAACAAAATGGCTACAGCTATGCTGGGGGAGCAGGCTTCAACAGTGTACTTTAGACAGATTATCTCTCATTTGTGGGTCAGAAGTTCCCTGCACTGAATTAATATTAAGTGTTTACAATTCTTAAGAAAAATAAATGAACTGCTGATTCTTCCAGAGGTAGATCATACATCCACTGGCAAGGTAAGATAACTTTCTTTTTTTTATTGGATATTTTATTTATTTACATTTCAGATGTCTTCCCCTCCCTAGAAACCCCCTATCCCATCCCCCCTCCTCCTTTTTGCTTTTATACCATTTTAATTACATACAAGTATTCGGGTCAGTTCTAGGTTGAGGAACTAGCAATGCTACAGATGCAAATAGTCAAGGAACAAGCAAGACAATAAACACAAATAGTCAAAGAACAAGCAAGGCAGTAAACAAAGTTCTGTGTACATTCCCATGATCACTGTTTCTAAGGACTTATCAGGATGACCAAAATATCTGAGCCTATTTCCCTGTCCTAGCCCAAAGTCATTTTCATGTCCGAAAGAAGTAATTTCAGACAGGAATCTAAATCTTAGGCTAGAACAAGGAGTAGGCTTCAGACATGTAAGACCACTTTCTAATTATTGAAATAGGACTGATAAAACTTGAATTTATTAAAATGGAAGTAGCCTGACATAAGGTGAAAAAATTCTGAAATGTTTCTAAGTATCCTTGGTACTGAATTGAGTTACATGCCTGTGGAGATGTTGGTTTTCTTGATCTATCCAGGAAGGAAAGGCATTCCTGGGCACTAAGTGAGTGACATCCGTGTGGAAATATTGTTTCTCGGGGGATAGTAATTATTGTAAATAAATGGGGTCACTTACGTTCAATTCAGTTGAAGGATCCTTCAGTTCTTCAGCTTTAGCTGTCCTGGTTCTCGGCTACCCCTCATAATAGAAATGAATGTATGTTGAGGAAGGAATGCTATGCCAGTTAGTTAAAAGCTTAATTGAAAAAAAAAAAACCCAGGAAGAATAGGAATGGCTTAGCTAGTAAAGGCATTTGCTGCCAAGTTTGATGATCTGCATTCAACCGCCATGACTCCCAAGGTAGAAGGAGAGAACTAATTCCCACATGTCCCCCATTGCATGAGCAGGCATGGGCATGTGTGCGTGCATGTACACATGTCCATACACACACAAACAATAATAATAACTAAAGAATAGTTCTGGACTCTTCCGGTCTGGGCCTGAGCATAGAGCAGGTCTCAGGCGGCAGCTCTGTACCCAACCTCAGAAAACCGAGAGAAAGAGGGCCTCCCAGGAGCTTTAACACAGGCAGCAGCTCAGGTAAGGAAACAGCAACACTTGCTCCAAACAGGGGGTAACCAGGACCCACTGGGACCCAGGAATTCACTCCTGGCTTGGAGCACGGGCTCCATCCAGGCTGGGCCCAAGCGCTCAGCAGATCCCGGGAGACAGCTCTGCATGCAATCTCACAGAACCCAGAGGAAGCAGGGCTCCCAGGAGCTCTACACCTGAGCAGTATCCTAGGCAAGGAGGCTGCAACACCTGCCCCAAACAGGGAGTAACTGGGACCCACTGGGACACAGGAATTCACTCCTGGCCCTAGCACGGCCCCCTTCCGGTTTCCACCTTAGCACTGAGCAGATCTTGGGCCTCAGCTCTAACCCCAGCAGCAAAACCCATCCCAAACAGTTCTGACACAACCTAGATAATAGGAAAGACAGGCTCCAGTCAGAGACAGCATAGATAGCACAAAGGAGATCCAGATGGAGAAAGGCAAGTGCAAGAACACAAGCACCAGCAACCCAAGGTACTTGCCAGCATCAGAACCTAGTTCTCCCACATTAGAAAGTCCTGAACTGCCATATCACCAGGAAAACAAGAACCAGATCTAAAATCACTTCTAATAATGATAATAGAGGACTTTAAGAAGGACATAAATAACACTATCAAAAAACTTGAGGAGAACACAGGTAAACAGGAAGAAGCCCTTAAAGAAACAAAAAAATCTCTTAAACAATTACAAGAAAACACAAACAAACAGATGAAGGAATTGAACAAAAACTTCCAGGACATAAAAATGGAAGTAGAAAGAATAAAGAAATCACAAAGGGAGACTACCCTGGTGATAGAAAACCTAAGAAAGAAATCAGGAGTCATAGACATAAGCATCACCAACAGAATACAAGAGATAGAAGAAAGAATCTCAGGTGCAGAAGATACCATAGAAAATATTGACACAACTGTCAAAGAAGACACAAAATGCAAAAAGCTCCTAACCCAAAACATCCAGGAAATCTAGGACACAATGAGAAGACCAAACCTAAGGATAATAGGTATAGAAGAGAATGAAGATTCCCAACTTAAAGGGCCAATAAATATCTTCAACAAAATTATAGAAGAAAACTTCCCTAACCTAAGGAATGAGATACCCATAGTCATACAAGAAGCCTACAGAACTCCAAATAGACTAGATCAAAAAAGAAATACCTCCTGTCACATAATAATCAAGACATGAAATGCACAAAACAAAGAATTTTAAAAGCAGTAAGGGAAAAAGGCCAAGTAACATATAAAGGCAAACCTATAAGAATTACACCTGACTTCTCACCAGATACTATAAATCCAGAAGATCCTGGACAAATGTCATAATACATACCCTAAGAGAACATAAATGGCAGCCCAGGCTACTATACCCAGCAAAACTCTC